TAATAGACCATATTTTCATGGTACCGCTCAACATAACAACGAAACAGCGCTCTGTCTTCCTTTTGTCTCGGATGAAATCTGTGTTGCGATACGGCGGAGTATTAAGCGAGCACAGCTAAGCGACGATATCATTTTAGTAAGTGTTCCGAGCGATTTAAAGAAACAACTTGTACGAAACAGGCTCTATGACAAATATTGTATCTTGAAAGAGTGCGTAATTTGTCCATATAGCAACATTGGAGACTGCGCGAAGACAGGAGTAATATATCAGATAGAATGTTTAGCTTGTGGAGCTAGCTATATAGGAGAAACCGTTAAGAGCACTTGGCGTGAGAGTTAGAGAACATCATGCCAATAAACGAAAAGGTAATATGTCTCGCCTCTTGGGATACATAAACATGAATACCATTGCGGCGAGGACTACAAATCAAGTGTACAATAATGGCCTACGAAAGAGATACCTCTGCGCGGAAAGCTCTCGAAGCATTTTGGATCACGTGCAGAAAACCGCTTATGAACAACAGGAACGAGTGCTTAGCCGTTACGAATGACCTCATGCCGTTTTTATTACTCTGAGCTACGATAGAGTAGCGCGATAATAACGTCTACAATGAGCTGCCGAATGTGGCTTATTGGCACTACTGTCACCAAGGAAGCGGTCGCACATACCATCAAGTGCACCGGCGGTAGTGCTCGTCTATCCCACCTTGCGAATTTTACTTGTAAAGCTCGAGGGGGATCCACGCAACGCACCTTTATTGAAAAAAAATTTCATCGCCCCCCCCCCCCTCCGAGCCGAAATCCTGGCCACTGCTCTGTACTATCTAATTAATTCTTCATGCTCCAATCGGGTTTTTAAAACCTTGAAGAACAAGCAACGAACATTGCTTGACACTAAGCAAAATCAGCATATGCTCTTCAAATAGAAATCTAGCTTTTGACTGCTTTCCGCACTTGTGAAGTGGTTATTGTTCTGTAACAGCGATGTTAAATGCGCTGTTTCATTTTCACACGCTAATTTAACTAAGTTCGTTTACAGAGCTCTCAAAATTCTAACAACAAGTACACAATGATGCCCGCTAATTTGACAAAACCACTAATTTTGGAAACGTAATGCATGGAATCATTCGCAAATGATCAAAGCTCATCAACTTCTTTATAAACGGCTCAAGAAGAATTGTACAACATAGTGATGAGCTTGACAACTTTTGGCCGATATAGGCGTTGCCCCTTTATCTCATAGGTTTTGAATTATGCTAATTAAGGAGAGTTTATCTTCCATTGTCGTTATACGTATTCAAAATGTGCTGAAATCGCCTACGTATATCTCTATTAAGACTGGTGCTATATGTCGTCAGGATGCCCACTGGTATTGTTTCGCATCCACTAAAAAGCGGCAAAGTTTTTTCTTGCGTGAACTCACTTGAGCTGGTCCTAGGTATACACAAAGGACGTTTGAGTCATTTCCCAAAAGCATTTTCTCTACCAAGGTGTAAGCTGTTACTGAAATTTTGTTTACCATTCTTTTTCTCTATCTTTTATTTTATTTTTTGTTTCTTAATTACCTGTATATTTTCATTTTACTGCTAAGAATTGCATATCCAGCAGTTTTGAAAAAAATTAAAAGAAGACAGAATCCTTTCGAGTAAGCTAATGGTGTATCTTGTATGCAAGATGGTTGATCTTAAATTAGCCGGCAAGGTCGAGTAGGAAAAATTAAAACAATTCGAAAGCGGTGCAGTCTATATGCTCTGCAGCTTCAGTTCGCTATTCTGACATATCTGATCAAAAAAGACATTGCTGGGCTCGGCATGTTTTGTCACAACAGCAGAGGCTTGTGCGTAATTTCTAGAAGACGTCATTGAAGCATAGAAAATTTGTTCGAAAAAGTCGAGAATACAAGCAAATAGCGGAAAGACAGCTGTTGTGTGGTAAATCGGTTTCTCCCTTGGAGGGGGAAAGTGGGGGGGGGGGGGGGAGACGCGAAGTCGTTGAAAATCGATTGACTTGTTCTAGACTAAAAAACGTAAAATATTTTCTAAATTTTCAAATGTTGATTTCGCCTAAAAATTTTGGCGTTTTGCCCTACTAAAAACCAGGAAAGTGTCCAAGAAGATTTTCAAAAGTGTTTAAATAATGCCACGCTCTTCTTCAATTGAAAAAATCTCTTTTTCCTTTCCCTGTAGGATTCTCTCGTGCCGCCAACGCTATCTACCACACAGCTTTAACGCCGCGACCAAAAGTATTAGGTTGGTGCAAAAGGAATGGCCGATTTGCGAATTCTCACTTTGACGTGCTATAACCTTTGGAAGAATTCACATTTCCGAATGCGGTAAAAAATATCAGAAGCAGCAAACCTTCTGCAATGCAGCGCACATTTATTTATACTCATATCACGAACGGGCAGAAAAATATGGATTAAAAAAATAAAAAGGTTCTTCTGCTAGAAACTTGTCTTTGACAATTCATATCTTCCTCCAAAGTTTGTTAGTATAAATGCTAAGTAGCCTATCTTGTAGCCGCAAGCCAGTAGTACAAAACGCAATAAAAGGAATTTGGACAGGAAAGTTTGCGAGAAATAAAAAAATTGAAATTTGAAATTTCTCACTTTTTTGAACATTTTTTCAGTGTGCATCAAAGTCCCGAATATAGAATTTTTTGATTTTCTAGGTACTGAACAGCTGGATGTTTTTGCAAAAACTGCTAACAGGATGCCCTAGCCCTACGCTTGCAGAACTGAGCAAAGCTCCGACGATTGACTTCTTCAGAAGAAAATTATGGGTCATAAAATGACCGCAACAGCTACCCATGTTTAGGCGCCGATATCTCAGTCTGGATAGCCTCAAAGAACACAGTCAAGTATGCATAATGTAGACAATTTCTATTACATACAATAGCTAAATTCGAAGAAATCCCATTGATACGCGCTTGAATTCTGGCCGGAAAAGTAAATGCAATGAAATTCTGAATTTCGATGCGGTCGTTTGAAGCTCAGTAACTTTACAAGAAATGATGGTGAGAGCCCGTTTTAAGCACCGTTATATAGAGCATGAAAACAGCACCGCGATGGTATACTACATCTACTTTAAAGAAGAAGAATTTATGGGGAAAAGTTGCCCTGAAAAAAGGCTTGGAAAATCGGCCATTCCTTTTGCACCAACCTAATAATTTTATGCCAGTTTGGTTATTCTTTGTATGTTTTCAAAGGCTTCCCCTTTTTATTGTTATTAACGAATTTTATGTACTGACCTTACCACTTAATGCCAGGAGAAACAAAACAAGGCGATTGTCCCAAAGGAAACTGTTGTTTTAGGAAAATGCGAGCTACGTGCGACGTTAACAAGGCGATTGTCCCAAAGGAAACTGTTATTTCAGGAATGCGCGAGCTATGTGCGACGTAACTGCGAGGTAAGGGAGGGGATGTTGTCTTCCAAGGGCGCGGAATAGGAAGGGCTAGCATTAGGAGGATCTTGCTACGCCGTCAATTTTTTAGCTGCGTCGCATACGACAAAGCGAAATTGCCCTTGCGAGGATCCAAACCGTGTCTGGCCGTGGCGCTAGGTGGAACCTCAACCACATTGTTGTAGTGCCGACCCAAACCACTACGTTATCCGTATTCCCAGTTCCTCCGTAAACCAACGAACTACTTCTGATAAGTTCGCGACGGCGTTCCCAAAATTAAATATCACCCAGAATTCCCTCAGGTCGTACACAATCAGGCGGGTAGAAAGTATTTGAAGGATGTAGCGTGATTCGACTCTGAATAGCCGTCGCTGAGCAAATTATGCAGTTAGTACATATTAGGTCGTCCCGATAATTAGAAGAAAATCACTCAAATTTTGAATTTTCTGTGTAGGTTCACAAAAATAAACCTTGCAATGGGAATCTAAGCAGTTGGTATTATAAGTCCCATTACCTGCTCTTTCTAATTGTGCAAAGTTTGTGCTGATGGAACATTCCTATGAAGTGTTATAATTTTCGAGCAAGCAGTACAAAAAGGCAATTTTGATTTATTTTGGCATTTTTCTCGCAAATCGTAACTTTCGGCAGAGACGTTCAATCAGCACAAATTTTGCACAATACTAAGAGCAGGTAACAGAATCTATAATACTAACTGCCCCGGTTTTTTTTGCAAGTTCAGATTTTTATGACCCTACAAGAAAGTTCGAATTTTGAGTAAATTTCACCGCTTCTATCTATAGAGATGACCATTAGTAAGCGCCTAAGATGTCGTTATAAAGGCCATGATTTACTTTTTCATATGAAGATAAAAGCAGTCAAATCGGTTGGAAAATTCAGAATTTATGAATTCTTGAAAAATGTGCAAGCGAACTTTCCGGGCCACCTAATAATAAATTATTTTTGGCTAGAGCCTATGCATTTCAATTCTATATCGAGCTAAAATATAGCGTCGTAAGGTGCATGCATTTGAACAAGTATGTAAACTTCACTGTAAGGCCATCTCTCTCCCTTGATGGAGTTTGTCTTGATACTGAACAGCAGTGAAGCTAATGCGATTATGGTGGATTTGAGTTTTGCAGCGCAAAAGCGACCTCAAAATATCCTTTTTGCAAATACAGGCAATACGCACATGAGCTCCAGTTGCATTCCAGTGATCCAGTGCTGGTGTACTTCTAAAATTTGAAATTTCGCTTCTACACGCATTTTCGGCCTTTATTCTACTAATATTTGCAGCATTTTTATGAATATTTCTAAATAGCTCGAGCACTGCAATACCATCTTTCTTCCCAGCAAGAAGTAAAAACAGCTGCTTGCTTATGAGCGGGGCTGATTTGCTCTCGTCATGAAGTCGCGCTAATGTTATTGAATCGACCACAGAATCTTTTGTGGTCTATTGAGTTCAAAAATCCATTCATTTCTGCGTGCCGAACACACTATTTAAATAAAAAAGGCACTCAAACGAGAATGTTTCTAATAGTTCTCGCTGTAAGTTGCTCTGTCGTATACTGCAGCATCGAGGATGCCAAGACTTGTTCCAGATGCTTCCAGACATATTTAGTTGTGAAGAATCCATTATGCAAGTACGTGCCTGTGATCATCCTTACATGGATCCTCTTTCAAACAGATTGCAGAAGAAATTCAAGAAGAAGTTGGAAGCTGAAATGGTCGGTTGTCTTTCTTTGTCATTACATTGTCATTATAGTCTAGAAACTTGCGTAGGATTGTTGATAGAGTAGTAACACAGCGAATTATCGTTTTTTACTTTGAAAAATGCCAGATAACCCCCTGTAAGGTGGGTGGGCTGTCATAAATTTGCGTCGCTTATGACAGCCAACCTCGTTGCCAGGTTGAGTTGTCTTAGTTGAAGGCATGGTAAAGTTCTAAAAAATAACCTCATTCCATCATCATAGTCCGCTATTGTGGTTCCACCAAGGAACTAGACTGCCTCAGCTCACTAAAATCATAAAGAATGTTCATTCACTACATAGATTGTTGCTGTGTATATGAGGTTGGCCGAAACTACCGGCGCCTGCTTTTTTATGATAAAACATTGTAAAAAACTCTTCTCCTGTTTCAAAGTTAAGCAGTACAGTAAAGCAGCCTTTTCTCTCTAATGCTACTACGGACGAAAATAAGCTAATCTTAACTGAAATTTCAATTATTTGAACCTAGGACTACCTAGCAACATATACTGTCTTAAAAGTTTATTTGATCATCAAAACTCTTACTGACTAGCGAAGGACTTAGGCATCATTCAGTTCGTTTTTCTTCCTGATTTTCAAAAATTTTTGTTCTAGCGTGTCGAAAGTTCGCTGGTGGGTAATATGTGGAGCAAAGCTTTGACTAATTTCTGTTTATTTTGGATTGCCTAAATTAAGTTTTTGAAGTCTGCAATCTTCGTTCAATTGGAAAAGTCCCCAGCTTTATAAGCACATGTAGCGCATAGCCGCACCGAAAATTCCAAAAAAATGAGTTTTCAAAGCATTATTGAACTATTGTTTTACCAAGTTTCAATTCGTAAATACGGGTATTAGGTTGTCCCATAAGTCCTTTCATTTTTGGCTTTTCGCCATATTAAGTCATACACTTCTTATTCTAAGTAGACATCTGGATACCATTTGATAAAGCAAAGCAAGTTCATAAGATGATCCATGCTTTTACACCACTTTGATCCAGCTCAAGTTCAATACAAATTCTGAATGATTCGGGTGCCCAGAAAACTGAAAATTTTTTATATTTACATTTAAAAGTCCTGCACAACTCTCACTCGCTCACGCATTTACACTCTACATCAGATATTCATATGTGCTGTTGCTGGATTTTTTTATTAACTAGAAATCAAGAGAACGAAGATTTCTATGTTTTCCCCAAAGTGATGCTGTGCGTTCTTGCACTAACAGTTGCATACTACGAGTCTTCAGAATTATAATCGTAAATTTTTAGCTTTCTAAAGGCTCTGGCTCTCGAGAAAGTTGTTAAGCTTCGAAATCCCGAGCGAGGAAGGCTGAAATCGAGATTTCTAGGGAACTGAAGCTTATAGAGAGGCAATAATTTACGATTATGCTCCATAGGCTTGTAGTATACAACTGTTAGTGTAAGAACATTACAGTTTCTCTTTGGTAAGAACTTTGAATCTTTTATTTTCTTGATTTCTAGCTAGTAAAAATTACAACAACGGCTCATATGAGTGAGATGTGGAGTGTATATGCTTGAGCGGGTGAGATATGTGTAGGACTCTTTTGAACGAAGATATAGAAAATTTTCAATTTTCTGGGCATTCGAAACTTTTTAGATTTTGGTTTCAAACATGAGATGGACCGAACTGATGCAAAATCATGCGCTATCTTATAAAGCTTGGTTTCCTCTATCGCACGGTACTAGATGTTTCTGTTTAGAATAGGTCGTATGTTACTCATTACAGCATAAACTCAAAAATGGAAAGACTTATGGGACAACCAAATACATCGAAGGCTTCATTATTATTACAGTTCTTTGTTCCATGACTTCTACAAAAAGCGAAATCCCCGAGGAAATGGTTTTGTCACGCCTCAAACAGCAGATCATAACAAACCACTAATGTACAGCAGAGATATCCCCCATTTCTTCTTACCTACTCTTCTCTAAAACTTTAGGATCAAATTTCTCAAAAAAAATTGGCAAATATCAAGCAAATAGAAATGACGGGGAGGTTCTTTAGAAACGTCCGGAAGATTATGGTATGGAAATGTAGCCCTCGGAAATGGAGACAAAAGTTGCATTGTCTGCATGTTTGAAAGCTTTTGAGTCGTTATTTCACGAGATTTCATACACGTTCGAAAAAATTTGCAGAACTTTTCTCATCCAAATAATGTCTTTAGGGACTCAGGTTTGATTTGAAGTCGCTACTCATAAGAGTTATCTGAGAATATAAGAACAAATTCTGGCAAGTTCAGCTACTACTTTGTGGTAGTATGGAGTGCCCCTAAGACCGCAGCACAGAACGATTCAGAAAGAGTTTTAGCTAATTCAGGTGCATAACAAAAATTTGAAGAAATCCAACACACGCTGATTTGAATCACAAGTCTACTTCTTTGAAATTTCGACTTTTCAGTGGAAGTCTTTTCGGATTAAAAAAATGCTTCTTACAGGATACATTAGAGAGTTTGATATCAACCTGAATCTGCATTTTTAATGGTCTTATGACACTGTCGCAAAGTCGGCGTTTTGACTTTGGCTCATACTATAGGATTTGCAATCATTCTAGAAATACCGATTTAAGACGCGTGATTGCGAACTGGAATATGAGGCTAAGTTGCTGGTTTTCTTTCGTGAAGGCAGTTGTAAGAGGGTTGAAGCTACGTCTATTCCAAATAAAGTCGTAATTTGCAATGAGAAAGAAACCAAGTAAGTCTAAGTTCAATATTTAGCTTCGTAATAACAAATTTGTGAGCTGCAGGAGCGGTTTTGAATATGTGGATCTTGCTGCGTTTTTCACCGAATCGCAGAGCGAGAGTATAGAGGCGGTGAGTCTTTGCCAGAAATCTATTTCCATGTTTGCAAAATGAAGCGGAGAGGCTTTCTGAAAGTAAGCTAATGAATTACACTCTGCTAGTAAAGTCATTTCAGCTACGACTGAGGGGATGGCCAAAAATCAGATTTGGATGCTACCTTTACCTCTGGGTGAGCCAACCAAGGAAGAAAAAGGATGTTGTTGTTTGCATTTTTGCAAAGAGATAACAATACCTTGTGTGGTGAGAGACCACCATCAAGGAACTTTTTTTTTGTAAGATTACATAAAATGAATTTTTTTACACTCCTACTAAAAGTGATAGTTTCAAACAAACCTTTGCTCGTAATGCACAGCTTTCGACTCCATGCTGGACTGGAAAATGCAAAATGGAACACCTTAGTGGAATCAGTGAAACACATTTCACACCTGTCTATTTCTCTATTTTCTTCCACGAAGCTGTGAAAAGCGAGGGAAGGAGGATTGAATAATATGGTTGTAACCAACGAAAAGATGCTAGAATGAATAAATAGAAAACTGGCTTTTAAAAAAAATGAATGGACAAATAATAACTAATTCGGAACTTTTGAATTATTCAAATTTGATATTCATACTGAACTACTCGATTAATGGAATGGATGCGTTTTCGAATAATTGACTATTCGAATATTCGTGTTAGTCGAATTTTTGAATTAATCGGACACGGTCTTGACTGTAAAACAGACTTAAGCAGGCTGCCATACTTAGGATCGTAGGGCCCCACAACGACTCTGTGTCTTAGCGTTGACGGGTACTGTTCACGCCTCCAAATCCAAAAATTGCTTTCCGATATGCCTGTTCTTGACTTTTTCGCGCTCTTCAAGCTAGGTTTTTAGTTTCGCATAGCGGATAAGTCCAAGTGAAAAGGCTAAGAAGACAGATTTTGTGTGGACACTGCCCTTAACAGCCAGTATTTGGTGCGCAACAAGCATGATATATATGATTTGTATATGTTCTAATCCCTTTTGCAGTAAATTAAAAATGGAAATTAAAAGCGAAAGACAGCACAAAAATTCGAAATGAAAAAATAAACACGAACAAAGGAAGTAGCGACGATATGAAGCACGCTCCAATCTACACCAGCTCAAGGAATGTGTTGCTAGAATTTTTTTCATACAATGAAGTCACTGTTGTTGGCAAGCGCTTATTTCTATGCGCCGGATGAGCTACAATAGGTATGTGAATTGTAGAAAAGAAGTAGTCCAAGTGGTCGTTTATTTACAGATGTATATGGCCAAGCGTAAGATGCTAATCTCAAATCCTGCATCCGAAATCGAGCTCCTTCCAATCTCTCTAAAAAAACTATGATTAGAAGCAACATGCAAACATAGCTAATGAGGGACTCGACTTGATGAATTGCAAATCCCACCGCTGACAGCCCCCACGGTTCGAGTGCTCGCATAGCATCATGATCAAGCTTGTAAGCTTTCAGATAACATAGTGCAGAGAGGGGTAACAGTCTTGAGATCAGCATTCATCAGTCTTCAGCAGTATACATATAGGCTGTATCAACCAGCATCGGTTCCGCGCTGGCATACCTTGCGAAGACGCACTGTCGTATGCGACGTGTCTTAAAGCTAGTGTCGTGTCTCACCAAAATTGGGGTAGTGCGGATTCCCATATATCATGTTAGAGGGCCCCCTGAACATTCGATTTCCCCAAGCCCGACTCAATCCGGGCGCTTCTACGTCGAGAAGTTTGCCCTCAAAGTATACGCGAGGCACAATTTGACCCGCACGGCCGACGCTCCCGGTTTTCCGCTTGCGCGTTTCAACATGTCCTTCCACTTGGCATCCGCCTCCATGCTGCTGCTACAGCTGTGGCAAAGGCTAGGCTGAGAAGGCACAACTCGTCCGCGCTGCTTGCACGAGGCTTTCAACAAAAGGGGTTTTCGTAGACTTTATGAGATTTTGGATCCGCGTTGAGTTAGACAGGGACCAAAATGCTCACAATATGCAAAAGTCTCGACAGCCAAATTCTAGTAAGACAGTGCCTTTAATGCGTAGCAGAGTTCACACGCGTCACATCGCTCGCAAATCGCCGCAAGCCTGACATCGCATAACCGTTGCTAGTTGGTATAGCCTATACATACAACAAAGGCAACTTCGATAACGATCATTCTCATGCAAGTCCATATTATTCGCTTATGCAACCTATCTTTTTGAGGCTTGCACGAGCTAACTCAGTCGAAGGTTAACCGAAGAAAAAATAGCTCACGGAAGAGTGAGAAAGTAGTCGACTGGAACAAAGTGCAGCTATGTATCGCTAACTAAGCGTTGAAGAGGAGCGTTATGATATGCATGCAATGTTAATCACAGACGAAGTATTCTAAAACTCTAGAGAAATCGCTTTACTTAAGAATAATAAGCACAGATATAAACAAGAAACATGACAAATCATGAGGACTTCGTTCGCACACTCTACCTTCCTTCCTTATCCAACATCAGCGAAGGCGTTTGAATGAGCGGAGATAGCTGTCACTTTCGTTCACCAATTACATATAATCAACAAGTCATTTTATGCTTTATTATTCTTCACATTCTGAGCCAAATCTAACAGTGGACTAATAGGTAATCCAAACTCAAACATGATTCGGTGCTCCTAAGTGAGTGATCGCATGGTAGTTCACTGATAATTAGCGCATAATGGGGTTCTTGACACTGGGCAACCGTATGACATGCTCTTTGCGTTAGGTTATTGGACGTTGCTATCCAACTGTACAACTATAGGATTGTCGCATAAGTCTTCTCATATCTGAATTTTCACCGATATAAGTAAGTTCTTTTTGTATTCCTCATAGGATGGGGGTATCATTCGACAGACCAAAGCCTCTACAAAGTGGCTTTCAAAAGTTTGCACCAAGCTTGATCCGCACTAACTTTCAAGCCGAAATCATAAAAATCTAAATTTCCGAAAAGAAGAATGATAGTAGTATAGTTGAAAACATTCAGTGGATTTTTCACTCGCTCACACCTATACTCTCCCCATCAGATATTTACAGCTGCATTTGCTGCAGTTTTTTGATGGTTAATCAGGAGAAAAATAACGAGCCATCTTTCAAACTTTGCCCGTAGCGCTTTTTTTTGTTCGCGTATCAGTACGTGACTATATAGCTCTCGAAAATACTACTACGAATTTGCACCTATGTAAGTGCTCTAGTTCTCGAGAAGTATCACTTTGAAAATTCGGATATGAAAGACTTATGGGACAACCTAAGGTATGCTTTACCCTTATTGGGCAAGTCTTATGACATGTGTGAAACTCTTCAGGCTGAGTAGGATTGGATTTGTTCATTCCGCATGAAAAATCATGCATCATCATAGCACACGTTTATTGTTTCCACAGGATCTCGAAAAAGTATGCATTCAAAAATATTATTTACTATTGGTCTAGTGCAATTTGTTAGTAACAAGCTTGTGCTCACGTTTCGATTCTATTTTTAGCCACCATGTGTGATGTAAGTAAGGTCACATATCCCTAACTTAACCCTTGGTTTTAGCTCTGAGAAAACTATAAAAATTAAGCCCCCCAAATGGAAGAAAATCAAGAAAACGAGAAGCCCATTTTTTGCTTTCTTTTTGCTTTCATGTTCCCGTGTCTGTTTGAGACCAGATTTTGCGAACTGGCAACGAGTCAAGTACAAGCTATCTTATGCGTCTGCTGTCTTTGTACACAATCTAAGTTTTATGTTCACACATAACTCGGTTTGTCTTTTTGGCACAAAACTTGAGCTACATAGCTACAAATTCAAATTCGGCATCGAATCACAGTAGACTGTTTCTGTTAGCTTTCGGAATGTCTGTTAACCTTTCTTCAGCGCTTCGAGCACGAAGTTAAAGAGAGGCAGAGTTAAGAAAAAATCTTTCAACACTTGGTGCTTATAGCGACAGCATTAAGCTCAGTAACGCAGAGTTCTCAAGTTGATCCCTCAGCATTACCGTTTTGGTTGGCGCTGTAAAGCACTTCTCCGTCTTTTTGCTACCCGAAGTTGCCACAAGCATAAAATGAAGCAATTGATACGAGTCCAAGCGCTGATTGCTCAATGCAGGCTTCACAGTAGCAAATACATTGCGGACTGTGAGGACAAACTCGCTACACCTTCTGTTAGCATTCTAAATATTAGGTTCTTGCAATAATAATGTTCCGTTTCAAATTTTTACTAAAAGGCTATAACTTCGTATTTTTGAATGCAGTCAAGATTCTCAGAAACAGCAAACCAATCGCAATTTAGCACGCAACTGAGCGTACTGATATCGCAAACGGGAAGAAAACCATGCGTTTGAAAACTGAAAGTTTTTCTTTCGAAAACCTCGTGTTTAAGAACTTATAACCCTTCGAGTTTTGTTCGTACGGCTGGTAATCAGCTTATTTTGCAGCCGCAGGCCATGGGTTTACGTGTGTGTAGAAAAGGCTAGAACGAAAGAGTTCTGCGAAAAGAAAAGATAAAAATTCAAAAATGCTCACTTTTTCGAGCCTATTTTTCGTAGGCTTGTGAGTGCCAAATTATGAAAATTTGGAATTCTTCGAGCGCTAAATAGATAAGTTCCCTTCAAATATTGTAGTTAAGGTGTGCTAACCTCAAGCTTACAGAAATGGGTGAAGCTTTGGGATTGCCTTGATTATGAGAAACTTCATAAACTGACCCATAGAATGCTACCAGCGAGTAACTATTAGGTTGATGCACAATTCTTGCACCAAAAAATACAAAAAAATTACTTTAAAAATGCTTGAACAAACTATTCAACTTACATGTTCTTCTCTATGTTATGTATATCAAAAGTAGTATTTTATTGTACATTTTAGAAAATCAATTCGAAACAAAATCGATAAGTCATTCAAAAAAATCGAAATTCGTAAATATTCGCAGAGACATCCAATCACTACCAACACTTTTCTTGGTTGAAAAGAGCATGCCATGAAACTTGGTCCAAAAATAGATTTAACTTTTAGTAGACGTTTTAGCAATTTTAGTGACTAAAAGTCGAAAAATCACTTTTTGGGTATTTCTCTTATTCACCTTGTATCGTTGCCATATGCCCTCAATGACTTTTGGCTCGAGCACCGTAAGAAGGCGCAAGATTTGCTCTCTCTACTATGTATCGAACAAGAAGATTTCATCGCAGCTGGATGAAGTAACAGAATTTTTCAAATTTTGGTGCAAGAATTATGCATCAGCCTAATACTTTGAGGC